AGTTGCGCACGGGAACTTTTATTTAAGATTTAAGTTTTTTTATTTCAAAGGTCCTCATGGCTCAGCAGCAGAGGCATAAATATTACTGTTAAGAAAGCTGATAATAAAGTTGAATAAAAATCTAAGTCTTATGAAGGTAAATTAAATATCTGACAGTGATCATTACACAGTGTGYCTCTAATTCCTCACTTCACCATCTGTGTCGCAGTTTCCCGTCTCCAAAATGAGCGTACGCATGGCTCAGAGCTGGCTGAGGCACCGCACATCTTCACGCCAAGTTTGGATTTTATAAATCACAACCTTGGCATAAAAAGTGGCGTACGCAAGTTTCTGGGCTCAWATTGTGCGTACGCCAGTTTTATAAATCCGACCCCAGGCCTTTAACTATCGACACTTCCTGTCAGCAAAATAATTTCATGAATCACTGAGTGGTTTTTAATTCAACTTTAAGGCAGACACCGTTTGATGTACAACTGATGACTGTTTGGAGTCAGGGTTGTTTAAGATGGCCACCACAGACAGCTACTCATAGGAAACACTGAATAGTTACAACTTACTCAAATTATTTATTACACACTGGACACGTCACAAGTCCTGTTCTTTATGTGAATGCAAAACAACAACAACAAAAAAACACCTGAACTTTATCCTCTGTAGCTGCAGATGTTTCGTTTCATATACTGTATATACAAGAAGCACTCTGAGAGTGCAAACTTCCACCAAAGCCGAGATGGAAACACATTTGCCGAATAAGTTCTGACGTAGTGAACATTTAAGCAGACAATGTGCACGGGATTTCATTCCGGCGGAGTTCAGTGCAAAAAAAGTCAAAATCGTCACCCAACGTTATTCAACCACAAATTGGTCCCAGATTAAGCTCCTAAGTTTTCATCAGTCAGATTCCATCATGTAAAACATGTGTTTTTCCCCTTTATGAGTTTTTAGTGGTTTGACTTTCTTTATAAAGTGCTTCTTCCTGGTACAATCGGCTCAGCGTCTGAGCGCTTTTAGCACAAACAAACAGCCCCATGAACTTCTGATAAATCGCACAATAAAGTTGTCAGGTACCACTGACATGGTTAATCAGCTGTTCCCGCTGTTCGGTACCAGCTTCGGCTCAGCTACAGCTGGACCCTCCCCCACTGTCAGCGTCTCCTCAGTTATTTCCGTAACGTGAAGAGAATCACATTTCTTTTTCTATGTTCCCAGACAGCATGTAACATCACCAACACTAGTTGATAACGGAATAATCACAACTTTTGCGATAGTAGACGTCCTGGGAGGTGTAGTCTCAGCGACTTTGCGACTTTTACTTCCTGTTTCCTACAGACATGTGTCTGACGTAATGACACTTTGCGTAGCCTGGCTGATTCAGTTGAATTAAAAGAAAAATTCCTGTATCTGCATCGTGATCAGAACATCACCAAAGTTTAATGGTGTGAGCCAATACCCACATGTGGTAAAAATGTCATGGCAATCCGTCCACAAGTTTTACCGTAATTTTGTCCACAGTCAGACCGAAAACATTTCCATCTCCCTTGGCGGAGGTAATAAGAGGCCTGCAGAGTGCAATGATAAATTCACTGCAGATTATTCTCACTCCTCTCCCATTAAACACCTATCAGGGTCACCAACGTCACATGCATGAAGGTGTAAGTTAGAGGGAAACTGACTGGGTATTAGGCTTAATGCTCAGTTTAAAGTTTTAAAAAGCTGAAACCTGAGCCATTTGAAGTCCAGTTGCTTGGTCTTTTTAAAAATGTTTTTTTGTGGATTTTCTGACTCCTGAACGAGGGAGAATCAACACCAGCATGTTGTTTTATGTGTTTTATGAAGAGCCCACCTCTCTTCTTGCGCTCCTGTTTTTCACTGAAATTCTCTGCTTTCATTTGCTGCACTTTAGAGCCAGTGACACACACACACACACACACACACACACACACACACACACACACACACAC